AGGCCAAGGAGAAAATATTAAAAGAAGCAGAAAGAAATCATTCAAATATCATGGAGCTGTAGCCGGGATCACACAAGATTGAGCAGCTTCCACATTAAAGGAATAGAAGGCTTGGAATATGATATTCCAGAAGGTAAAGGAGCTAGGATTGCAACCAAGAATAACTTACCCATCAAAGCTGAGTATAATTCTTCAGAGGAAAAATGGATATTTATTTAATGAGATAGAGGACTTTCAAGCATTTCTGATGGAAAGACCAGAGCCAAAAAGAACATTTGACATTTAAACACAAGACTGAAGAAAAATATCAAAAGGTGACAATGAAGGAGAAATCATAATTGGTACAATAAGAGTAACCTGTTTACATCCCTATATGGGAAGATGAAACATGTAACTCCTAAGAACTTTATCATTATTAGGGCAGTTAGAAGGTGTTTACAAAGACAGAGGACATGGGGGTGAATTGATTATGTTGGGATGATCTAAAAAAATGAAGGGGTGAGAGAGGGATACACTGGGAGGAAGGGGAAGGATGAGGAAGAATGGGGAAAATATCTCACAAAAAAGACATGTGCAAGGAAGCATTTTATAGTAGAGGGGAAAATGGGAGAAGTAGCAGGCAAGTGCGTGAAGCTCATTTTCATTGGAATTGGTTCAAAGAGAGAAGAACATGCATGTATGTATGTATACACACTCAGGTATAGAAATCTATCTTACCTGAAATGGAAGTAGGATGAAAAGGAGATAAGAGAAAGGCGGGTTGGGAATGATGAAAGGGAGAACAGATTAAGGGAGGCAGTGGTCAGAAGCAAAACACTTTTGAGGAGGGACAGGGTAAAAAGAGAGAGAGAAAGAAGGATAAACAGAAAAAAAATAGGATGGAGGGGAATGTACAGTTAGTAATCATAACTGTGAATGTGAATGGGATGACCTCACCCATAAAATGGAAGCACATGAATAGATTAGAAACCAGAATCTAACAACATTTTGTTTACAAGAGACACACTTGAAAGACACAGAGTAAGCAAAGGAGCTGGAGCAGAGTCTGTAATGTGAAAAATACAATCATGATCTCAGGCAAAGAAAAGCAAACCCAGAACTAATTAAAAGAGATCATCAGGGAAACAGATGAGCTAAACCAGGTTGAGGGCAACTGAGAGGCCTCAAAAATCAGTTGGTGAGCTCCAAAGGCAATTCAGTGTCAGAATAATGTCATTTAAATTCCCAGGGAGTAAAGGGGCCCTCAGGAATCCATCTTCAGTCCCTCGGACTCATGTGTTTCAGCCACATAACCTTCCTATTTTCATCAAGGAAAAGGATAGAGCTGGTTCTTAAACTGTCTAAAAGTGGGGGTGGGCTCAAGGGAGAGGATATATTGTATAGGAGACTCTAGGAAAGGCAAATCAGAGGGGGCTACAGCGTGTTAAAGTTCTTATAAAACAACTCTTTCATTTTATTGATGAAGAAACAGATTCATAGAAGTGAGGCAGTTTGCCCAAGATCACGTAGCTAGTTAGTGGCTGAGTAGGAACTTGAACCCAGGATGCTGATCTTTCTGCTGCATGCTGTTGCCATTTTAGGTTGCATTTTAAGACTAACACTCCAAAAACTTTTTGCCCCCTATGTATTATTTTTGCTATTTGGGTAAGCTGCCACACCGGTGCCTGATTCTTCTGCCTATGGTTAGGCTTGTCATAGGCATGTTCGAATCAATCAGGGCATAGCATGCTTTTCCACTCCTATTTCCTGTAGACAAAAATTAATTAATTAATTAATTGAAGCAGCCAGAAGGCAATAATGAAAATTATTTTGTTTGGCAGTATATCAAGTACACAATTTAGAACAATATTTAAAGAATTATGCAAATATAGTTATAGAAAGGCAGTGTGATGGAGTGACTCCTCATCAAAGAGTCAAAATACTTGAGTTCCAATCCCTGAACAAATCACTTAATGCTTCTGAGACTCAGTTTCTTCATCTGTAAGATAGGAATAATAAGACTTGTATTACCTAACAGGACTGATGGGAAGAAAGCATTTTGTAAACCTTGAAGTGCTATATAAACTTCAGTTCCTCATAATCTTCATGTTCTCATTCCTGCTGTATAACTCATTAGCAAACCTTTAATTTCTCTTAGTCACTGCCAAATCTAACCCTTGCTTCATCTTCAGACGTGAGTAGAAAACACTTTTCTCCCTCTGAATCTTTCTTAGTTTGTCCAAGTCTTGTCAAGATTTTTTCAAAACCCTAGGACTCTCACAGTTTCTCTTAGAGGGACAGCAAGCTGGTTACATTTATTCCCCACTTAAAGAAATAGTTTTGCTGACTGAGGAAGACCTGGATTCAAATCCCAACTAAGATACTGTAGTAGCTGGTTGACCCAGAACTTAATTTCTATGAGCCTCAGTTTGCTCATCTCTAAAATGGGGGTGATTATAGCACCCATCTCTAAAAATTATTGTATGGACAAAATGACTAGATAGATAAAATGTAAATATAATACTCTGCAAACTTCAGTGTTGTGTAAATCTTATTTTCTCATTCTACTTGATTCTACTTGCAGTTAGCTCTGATTCTCCCTTCATTGCTCTCAGTAAGGATTCTGACAAGACCACTCCACTGAAACTTGTTTCCACAGTTACAATCTCTTAACTGCTAAGACTAATGGGCTTTTCACTGTTCTCATTCCATTTGACCTCTCTGCAGCTTTTGACACTTTTGTGTCAACTCCTTGGGTATTTTCCCCTTCCTTATCTTCTGTGAGACCATTCTCTCTTGGTTCTTTTACATGTCTGAATCATTCTTTTACAGTCTTCTCTGCAGAACATCAGTCATCTTCTGCCCATGAATTTGGGACTAGGGGTTCTCCAAAGCACTTAACCAGGTACTCGTTTCTTCCTAAATTCTGTTTCTTGATAGTCTCATAAGTTCCCATGGGTCCTATTATCCCTATGATTCTCAAATTCTATATATATAGCCCTAATCACTCTTCTAATTTGTTATAAAGAAGAGCCTCAGACCTGTATTGTTAACTGCCTGTTGGACATCTCCATCAGAATGTTCCATATGAATTGTCAAACTCAACATGTCAAAAATGTAAGCAGTCTTCCTTTCCTCCAAATTTTCTTATTTCCTTCTAGTTTCCCAGGTCCTTAACTTCAGAGTCATCTTTGATTCCTTTCTTTTTCATATCTCCATGTCCCATCAATTGACAAGCTTATCAATTTTTGCCTTGATAACATGCCTTGCATCTGTCCCTTTCTTTTCAGTCATACTTCCACCATTCTCATTCTACCCATTCATGACCTCTATTCATAATTGCAGTAGTCTCTAATTAGTCTCTCTGTTTTCAGGCTCTCCCTCTCCAATTAATCCTTCACAAAGCCACCAAATTAATATTCCAAAGATACGGTTCTGACCATGTCATTCTATACTCAAAAATATTCAGTGGCTCCCTGTTGCCTCAAGTATAACATGTATATGCCTTAGCTTGGCATCTAAAATACTGTATTGTATGACTCCAAATTATGATTCCATATTTATTTCATAATACACACTTTTAAACACTCCCCATTCTATCTGTTTCCTGATTTCAATATTCTAATGTCTAATGTCTAACCCTTACCTTTTTACAGGTGGTTTTCTATTTCTAGAGAATACTCTCTTCTCACTTGTTCCTCTCAGAATCTTTCCTGCAAAATTCCATTCAGATGTCTCCTCTTACATAAACTTTCTTTTTATCCACCAAATTTTGGGTACTTAAATTTTTTTTCACGGTATGGGAATCAGCAGTGTCCAGGCATGAATATGAGAGATAACATGTTTTATATAAGGAACAGAAAGAATGCCAGTTTGGTTAGATTGCTGAGTGCAGAAACAAGAATAATGTCCAATGATGTCAGAAAGATATACCAGGCATACCTTGTTTTATTGCACTTTGCTTTATTGTACTTCACAGATATTTCATTTTTATAAAACAAATTGAAGGTTTGTGGCAACCATGCAACAAGCGGTCAGTTGGCACCATTTTGTTTTCAGGTAAGCCTTTTTTATTTTCTGCTTTTCTTGGTGTTTTTTTTTTAAATAGTTGGATATCTAATTTATTGATCTGTTCTTTTTTTTCTTGATGAAAGTATTTAGAGCTATAAAATTTCCTCTAAGCACAGCTTTGGTTACATGATATTATTTCTTAATGTTTTATTGATGCCTTTTGTTCTCATGCCACAGTCATTTCCTGATGTGACATTTAATTGGCATTGAACCTTCCTTGTAACAAAGAACAAAGAGTTACGCAAAACTTATTGACACCATGATCATACCTAACAGTGTATACCGCATTCACTCTCTGAATTTCCCCACCTCTAAACTGAGAGGAGGGAGGGATGTTTTATGATTGAGAATAGTCATTATCTAAGTTTGTATGCTTTTTATTGATGTTTTCATTTGTATAATTCAGGTCATTCTGTATATTCCTCCACTAGTTCTAATTACTTCACACTGCATCAGTTAAAACAAGTCTTTGCATATTTCTCTGAATTCTTCATATGCATTAATTCCTTTTGGGGAAGTGTTCCATTACATGCATGTATTACCATTTGTGTGGTCGTTCTTTAGGTAATGAATACTCACTTTGTTTCCAGTATTTTGCTATTGCAGCAAGTGTTGTTATGAAGGTGTTGCTGTATTTAGCCTTTTTATGTTTAACCTACTGTTAGTATATGTCCATTAATGAGATGGTCAGGTCAGAAGGTATAAACACTTTAGTGAGTCTTCTCACATGATTCGGAATTTTCTTTCTTAAAAATATTTTTATTGATGTTCTAATAAAAAAAAATCACTGTCACTTTCTAATGACTCCTCAGCCACATGCCCAAGGAAACCCAGCCCTGCAACAAAGCACAACTAGGCTAAGGAAAACAAATCCACACATCAAAGGAGTGAATAAATAAAATCATTTATTAAGTGCTTACTACATACTAAGCACTATGCTGAGCACTGAGGATACAGATACAAAAGTAGCATAGCCTTTGCTCTCAAATATTTATATGGAGGCATATAGATTATAGATATATACACATACATACATGTGTTATATGTACACATATACATATGTATACATACATGTACATGTATGCATATATGTACGTATGCATGTGTATACACACATACATGCCAGGGAAGAGAGTTATGATCTGGAAATTCACAAATATAAGACAACAATGGGATAGTTCACTGAAATAACCTTTTGTTCCTTTTAGTTTAATTTTTTAAAAAATTTTCAAACTTAACAAACACCAAATAAAATTAGCATTTTCATATATGAAACTGAACAGAAAAGAGTACATGAAATTGAAAATCCTTATTATATACAACTTGCTTTTCCATTTAAGTGTATGATAAATTCGTTATATAATTCTCAAAGCTATCCTGATTGTCTAACACACCCTTTTCAGAGTCAGTAGTCATGTTGATTTGATTACAGTTTTCCAAACAAGAGGTAGAAAGGGAAGGTGGGGAAAGAGGATATGAACCACAGCAGAAAGGAAGATGGCTAGGAATGAAGATGAGGACGTATAGTGCCAAGGAAAACAGAGCCCAGAAGTTTAGCTTCTTCCAGGCATTATTTCTAATGGTCTGATTTGGATGATCAGATAGCAGCAGCTGCAGCATCAGACAGCTTATGCTTCCTTCTGTACCTGTAGTCCACATCTCTTTGCTGAAAGGAGGGAGGAATGCTTCACCAACAGCTCCCTTTCACCATTACCATCTATGTAAAACTAACTGTTTGCAGATCTAGGTTCTTTTAACATGAAGTAACAATTTGTGATCAGCTTGGACATTCCATCTCATTGGTATCCTTGGTTGATGCTGCTTTAGCAGGATGTGACATGAATTTATGGATCCATTCATCTGCCTGTGTAGGAAGTATCCTTATAGAACTACTTATTTTGTCCTATGCAGACACAGTGTGGAGTGGGCTGCAGCAGGAGCCAATAATCAGCCCATCTGTCTCTAAAGCCAGGAGACGTCCTGGTCAGACAAGGACTCTAGGTGATCGCCTTGACACTTTGCTTTCTGGAACCAGAGCCGTCTTTTGTGCACTGAAGTCTGAACCGACATCGGTGGGGGAGTGAGTCAGGAAGTGAAATATATTCGCTGATTTGACAGCTCATATATTACAGTTTGTTTTAGTGGGTCTCTCCTGCTGGATACAGACAGCCTGGGAAACATCTAAAATCCATGTCTGTGTCTGGAGTGAGAAAATAAAGAAGACCAAAAATTAAGGAATAGCAGAGACTGTTTGCAAACACATCCATAAGGTGCTTGTAAAGGATGAGTTCCTCTACAAAAATAAAGCCTATGTCAGGCAGTTGTTTCTAATAAGGACACTTTATTTACATGGGTATGTTTGGTGCCTTATATTTCTGATAAACTGAATGTAAATCTAAGTTTCATAAATTAACTCCTATTTTTCTCCACCAAAATTCTCTAATGGATCATCATAATGTGGAGGTGTTTGTGGGTTATTTTTCTTTTGAAAAAATATTGATATTTAAAATAGTTGTTTATGCCTAAAGGGCTATAAAACTATACATACACTTTGATCTAGAAATACCACTACTCTGGTATTATATTCCAAAGAGATAATAAAAAAATTTGGAAAGGGACTCATTTGTACAAAAATACTTATAGCAGCTCCTTTTGTGGTGGAAAAGAATTAGAAATTGAGGGGATGCCCATCAGTTGGGGAATGGCTGAACAAGTTGTGATATGTGATTGTGATGGAGTACTATTTTGATAAAAGAAATGATGAGCAGGCTGATTTCAGAAAAACCTGGAAAGGCCTTCACGAACTGATGCAAAGTGAAGTGAGCAGATCCAGGAGAACATTGTACACAGTAACAGCAATATTGTATGAACAACATACAGTGAGTGACTTAGCTATTCTCAGTACAGTGATCCAAGACAATTCCAAAGGACTCACGTTGAAAAATGCTATTCACATCCAGAGAAAGAACTGATGGAGTCTGAATGCAGATTGAGACATACTATTTTTCACTTTTTTTTTTGGTGTTTTTTCCCCTTTGGATCCATGTCTTCTTTCACAACATGACTAATATGGAAATATATTTTGCATGTTTGCATATTTATAACTTATCTCAGACTGCTTACTGGCTCAGGGAGGTGGGAGGTGAGAGGGAGGGAGAAAATTTGGAACTCAATTTTTTAAAAAATGAATGTTAAAATTTGTCTTTACATGTAATTGGGAAATTTTTTTTAAATAGTTGTCACTTTACAATGGGCTTCCCACCCCTAACACCACCAAACCTTCCCTTGTAACAAATATATACAGCTGAGCAAACAAACCAGTACATTGTTCTGTTTGACAATGCATGCTTGATTTGACTCCTGTAGTCTGTTATCTCTCTACTGAGAAGAAATGTTTCATCCTTAGGTCTCTGAAATCAGTAGGTCACAACACTTGTCAGAATCTGATGGCTTTCAATGTTGTTCTCATTTACAGTCATTTTATAAACTTCGAGTTTCTGGTTACTTTACATCAGTTCATAGTAAATTTCCCAAGTTTGTCAGGATTCTCCATATTCATAATTTCTTATGGTACAGTCATAATCCATTACATTCACATATCACAATTTATTTAGCCATTTCCCAAACTAGGGACATCCATTTTGTTTCATACTCTTTACTACCACAAGAAGTGCTACTATAAAAATTTTTACTTATGTTCTTTTCCTCTGTCTTTAACCTCCTTAGGACATGTGTCTAGTAGCTGTATAACTCAGTCTAAGGGTATCATACACTTTAGTGGGTTTTTAATTATAGTCCCAAATTGTTTTTCTGAATGATCAAGCCATTTTGCTGCTCTACCAACAATGCATTATTGTGCCTATTTTCCTCCAGCAATGACCATTTTAATCTTTTATTTGTGCCAAATTGATGTATTAGTTGTTTTCATTTGTCTTTCTCCTGTTTTCACTCTGGGCAATACCAGCAAAACACATGATTTGGAAGATTCTAGCAAATGTGAAAGGCTTCAGGAATGGCCTGGATGACCTACTGGATGACCAGCCTAGCAAAGTTCAGAGAGCTTATCAGGTTGGGCATAGGGTGTATAACCAACATAGGGGTGATTTTTTTTTTTTGCCACAGCAACCTTTACAGCCCATATGCTGAATTAAATTGTGGCAAGGTTGTAATTTGCACCAAAGAAAATAATACACGTGATCATAGATCACATTGAGTTCTACTTTAAATGCACTATGGGAAATGACTATTAAAATGAACTCTGGGATGGTTCCTTTTGTAATTTATGTCTAATTTATATATATATTTTAATTGTAATGTATGCAAATATGCATAATCTCACATAAAGTTGCTCCAGCAAAAGTGCTTCACAACAACTTCATACATTATAAGCAATCCCTTACTTATCCCTGTAAAAGCCCTACCTCAATTGGAGTGCCACATAGCTCAGCTTGTGCTTTTTCCCCCCACCCCAACTTGTCTATAATTGTCCTTGCAGTTTGTCCATTCTCTGCCCCCTCCTCAGCCCCATCTAGACAGTCTTCATAAGTTTATGTGTATGCCTCCCTTCCTTAACAACTCAACCAAGCCACTGGCTTCCTTGTTCCTTTACCTGACTCTCCATCTCCCAACACCTTGCCTTTATACTGGCTGTCTCCCATGCCTGGAATGTTCTCCTTCCTCACCTCCATCTCTGGTCTTCCCTCAAGACTCAGCTCAAATACTAGCTTCTTCTGGAGACCTAACCAGGTCTTACCCATCCCCTTCCCCCAGTCCCTTCCTTCTAAGATGACCTCCTATTTACACTGCATATATCTTGTATGTACATAATGATTTGCATATTGTCACTCTCCAGCAACTTTGAGTTCCTTAAGGGCATGGACTGTATCTCATATATATATATTTTTTAGTGTTTAGCGCTTAGTGCAGTACCTGGCATATAGCAAATCCTTAATAAATGCTTGTTGACTGATTGACTGTACTTAAGACTGCCCTAATCAGTGCCTCTGATCTTTACAAGCTCCTTAATCTTTTTTTGCTCAGTAAGTTTCTTTCCTCTTTTGCTTAGCACTTAGACCTCCCCCTAGTCACCCACCATCACCCCCATCCCAATGTTTAGGACCTTTTTAGTATCTCCACCTTGCCCTTCACCATTATACCAGTGCCTTTGGCCCTACCTTGCTCTACTTTGTTCTTCCTAGCCCCACATGTCCACCCTGGCTCCCACATCTCTCGGGATGTTCTTTATTCTCCTCTCAGTTCAGCCCTTGTCCAAGGTAGAATGCCCAAACTTCCCTGCCCTGGTCCCTTTGCTTCTACCCTAACCTCAACCTTCCCTCTCCCCCCCATCCAGGACTGTCCCTACACCTCCTACTTTCTGGGAACATCCCTTAGGATGGAAGTCAATTCAGATATCCACCAAGTAGTTAAGTGCTTCCTTTATGGGGAATGATAAGTATGAAGGTCATGCAAGGACCCTAGGATTTAGAACTAAAATGAGATTGTAAATATCACTGAGCCCAAACTCTTAATTTTATAGATGAAGAAAACTTAAAGCCCAGAGAGTTGAGGAACTTCCCCAAATTAATGTGATTAATCAGTCAGAAAGCCAGGGTTCCAACCAAGGTACTCTGAGTCCAAATCCAGTGTTCTTTGCCCTATACCATGTCCCTTTTCCCATCTATAATACTGTTCCTGTGTTGAATTGAATTCCAATGGAACTGTCTCTTGTAACATCGTTTTGCCTAAAGTCCTGTTTTTGTGAAAACAATTAATGACATTAGATTAGGTTGAGGTTGTGCCTATCTTTTTTTTTCTTTTTTCTTCTTTTCCTTTTTTTGTGTAAAGCAAAAACACTCTTCTATAAGGATAGCCCTGGGCAGCCTGAAGGAAATACAATAATTAAGGTATAGCACTTGCTTCCAGAAGACATGCTAGGAAACTGTAGGTTATGTTTTACCTCAAGATTGTGCAATTAAATGGAAGCTGTTGGGTGCTCACCAGATTTGGGTGTGCATGTTTTCTTCTCTTGCTCTATGATGAGGAACTTCCCTAGGACCTCAGGGAGAGAAGCAGATTTTTTTCCTCGGAGTTGCAGCTCACACTGCTGATTGGTCCCTAGGGCCCAAACTAGGATGTTGGAGTAGGCAAGCTAGAATGGATGTGCAACTAACAGGAATCAAGCAGCCAGCACTTGGGTCAGTAGAGAAGTCATGAGCTCATCTAGCTGGACTATCCCTAGGGTTGAGGAGGTGGAGGGCATGAGATTTGATGAGAAGTCATCCATGGACGGCCAGCCCTTGGCAAAATTGTGAAGTCATGAAGGTTTGCACTAGAAGTCAAAGCCAGGAAAGACCTGTGTTCAGATTCCTCTCAAATCCTGCCTTCTGCAGGAGTTCCTCCCTGTTGCTCCCACTTCCCTTGAAGATTTAACTAACTGTGGCAAATCACTTAAAACTCTGATCCTCAGTTTTCTGATTTGTAAGACGGGCATAACAATATATTTTGCACTTAACTATTGCACAAGGCTATTGTCAAGCTTAAATTTTTTGTAATCCTTAAAGTACTAAATATTATTGTATTAGTGTTTTCAGCATTCTCCTTCGGCATTTTTCTCCTCCTCTCTGGTCCTCCTTGCAGAGGACAATTGCTTTCCTGTTCTCCTCTCCTTCCCATTCTCTTTCATTAAAAAAAAATCAAAATCTACTCTCAGGAAAATTATTAATAACATAATAATAATAGTAGTAGCTGGCATGTCTATAGAGCTTTAAAGTTTTCAAAGTGCTTCTTCTATGTCATGTCACTTTCTGGTCTCTGTTATTTCCTTGATGCACAGCCACCAGAGACAGCTGAACTCTGAATTCCCCCCAAGACTGGGGCTTTTTTATTGTCTCTCAGCATCTCATAGGACCTGTTGTAGCTCTGTTGCTTCATGCCTCATTTTGGCCTTGGCCTCATACAGTGGGAAGATTCTCTGATAATCGCAATTTAAGTCTGCTTTCTAATTGTGGTAGGAACGTCATTGGTTTTGTTAAAGAATTGTCAAAGTTCATTGAGAAGGCTCTTTGGAGGCACTGGAAATTGGTGTTTGGGGAGAGAAAGGTAAATTATCCTTATGCCCCAAAGCTTCTTTCTGCAGCTGACATATTCTTTTTGGATGCTTAAAATCAGCCAGGGAGACTTGTGCTCCAGCTCCAGTGGCCCAACATTTATCCATCCCTTTGTTTCCTCTTAAGAAGTTTATACCTTCACAGGTTAAGGGAGAAGAGCATTATTTACTTAAAGTACATTTTTTTTAACTTCTGTTGGACAAGTGACTGAGGGCAAGTGACTATATTCACTATCTTTGTTCCCTATTTCCTACCTGGACACCAATGGAAGAATATTTTTTCACTTGGTTGTTTATCTTTATTTCAGTAATATTGAAACCCCTGGACCAGTGATAATCCCCAGGAAATGACTGTGAAATTAAAAGCAGTATCTCTTCTCCTACAGGTACCTTTTAAAATGTTTTATCGATGCCTTTTATTGTTGACATCACAATCACTTGTGGAAATATCCACACTGTCCTACTCTCAACCCTCCAGATAGAGCCTACCCTTGCAACAAAAAAGAAAATTAAGCAAAAATACCTGATACAATGACTGCCTCAAAAAATGTGTACGATATTCTGTACTAGTAGCCCTTGCCTTGGCTGTAAGATTGAATATTGCAATGTTATTCTTTTCTCAGTACCTGGACTATCTTCTGACTGGTCTCCCTGCCACAAATCACTTCCCACTCCAATCCTTTGTTCACTCAACTTCCAGAATGATTTTCCTAAAGCATGGGTGTGGCCCTGCTACTCACCCTATTCAATAAACTTCCAATGGCTCTCCGTTATCTTCAGGATCAAATATAAAATGCTCTATTTGGCTTTTATAGCTCCTCACAACCTGACCTTTCCAATCTTGTACCTTACTCTCCTCCAAGTAATCTTTCCAGTGACATCTATTTGCTGTTCCTCACATAAGACACTCCATCTCTTGACTTTGTGCACCTGTAGTGATGGTCCACCGTGCCTAGAATGTGCCTCCATCCTCATCTCCACCTCCTGGTTTCCTTCAAGACTCCCCTCAAATCTCACATTCTGCAGGAGTCCCTCCCTTTTGCCCCTACTTTCCGCTAACATTACCTTCCATTTACATTACATATATCTTATATATACATAGTTATCTACATGTTGTCTCTTCCATTAGAATGTGAGCTCCTTGAAAGCAGGGACTGTATTTTTGTCTTTCTTTGTGTCCCCCCCCCCATTGCTTGGCACAGTGCCTGTCATATAATGAGGGTTCAATAAATGTGGGCTGACTGACTGGTCTTCTGAATCCTTATACATAGTTGAATGGGTACAATTTTGTAACAAACCATTATGTAGCAGATAAAAAAATCTAAGCAAAACAAGGTATTTTTTCCTAAGTCATCTTGAACTTTATAAAATAAGCTATCTGGGGGACCACCCCCACTTCTCTAATAACAAATTAATTAGGTAGTGTCAGGCCAGGTAGCTCTAATTTACCAATAGCATGTTGATATGTTGAGTATTCCAACAACTTGCTGGTTACATATTAAGTCAATAGGTTTATTGGTAAATGTTATGCAACTGGCTTGTAGACACACAATGCCTGTTATTTATTCCCAAGAAATCTGATCCTGGTGCTCATGTGACTATGCATCGTAGCTTAAATTTCCTGCAGCAAATTTTGAATGCAGTAACCCAAAACCAGTCTTGGATAATTGGCAGCCTCTGTGAAACAGGGCAGGGAGGGTGTGTGGTCTGGAGCATGCTATCCTAGAGTTTGGCCAGGGTGAGGAAGAGGTGGAAATGGCCAGGCACCAAGCAGCTGGACTTATTCCATATGTTTCCAGACTGTGCAAGCCATTTTCCTCCCTTTTCTTCCTCCTCCTGCTTCTCCCTACCCCCATATTTCCTTTTCTGCTCCCTTATCTCATCTGCTGGGAAACTCCAGTCTTCATAATCCAGAGAGAAGGCAATAGAACAGACCATGGAATCGGACCTTGCCCAGATCAAGGACACTAGGGAAACAGGACTAGATAATCTCTAACATGCTTTAGGTCTAATACTCTCGGGTTTTCTGATAAGAATCCTGTAGTCTGGCATTTCCCCACCCCTTCCCCCCACCTCCAGTCACTCACCAGACTTTGAATTGCAGTCTTTTGGGGGGTGTGGTTTTCCTTCCTTATAAGCCTTGACCTGGAGAAAGAGAGAATACAAATACAACTATTATATCTTCAGTAGAACAGGAAGGACTTGTCTAGAAGGAGTGGAAAAAAGGGCTGGTCTTGAAGCCAAAAGACCTAGGTTCAAGCTCTGATTCTATTAATTACCAACTATATGACCTTGGGTGAGTCATAGGATTATAGATTTAGAACTAGAAGGAACCTTAGAGGTCATCTCACCCAACTGTCTTTACAGATGGAGAAATCAAGGCCAAAAGAGATAAAATGACTTGCCCAGGGTCTCACACATAGAAAGTGGTGGAGCCAGAGAAAACCTCTCAGCTATCTCTGCTTGCACTTTATCTCCTGGGGCTTCAGTTTTCCCAGTAGGAAAATGATGGATTAGAGACTGCATGAGATCTGAGAGTCCTCCCTGCTCTAAGAGTCTCTGATTTGGTTTCAGTCAGAACTGCAGGGAGACCAGGCTGCTGTTTTCCTTTTGTACCCTGTCGAGTACTCAGGGACACTCCCATCCTGCAGTGCCCAGGCTGCCTGTACAGCTCCGATTCAGAAGGTCTTGCCACCCCTCTTCCAACAGACATCTGATTTTTGCAACTGGCAGCCCCTTTGGAGCAGTCCCTGAGTCTACCTCTCTGAGGAGAGACCATATGCTGCTGGGACCAATTACAGTTGCTCACAGCTGCTCCACCCAAGCAATTATTTTTCTTAAATTGGGGGAGGGGTGGTTGGTTTTATTTCCTCCTTAAAAGTAACAACTCATGGAGCTCCAAGTTTTCTCCCCTAGCCAGATTCTGGGACTGAGGACTTGAATGCATTTTAAAATCTGCCGGATTGCAAGTGTGGCACTAGCAAAGCTTCTTGGCCATTTCTTCCCTGCTCCTCACCTGGATACTTGAGGAGCTACCTTTAACGAGATGGGGGGAGGGACAGGCTTGTGACTGCCATTCCTTCACTTCACAGTTGCCAACAACACTGACTGTTCTGATGAGAGCTTAGCTGCCTCCTGGGATGTGAAGAGAGCGATGAGGCCAAACATAGGTACTGATTATACCTAGGGGAGGGTTGGCACTGGCTGTGCACACCTGTGGAGAGAGGCCTGGCTTTGCTTCCATGTACTCTGGCCCCACCCATAAGCAGAGCTGTTCAAAGAGCCCTCCCTTTGCTGGTGTGGACAGACAATTCACGGACAATGCCTGCATTCCTTGGCCATTTACTGCCCACCTTTCTGGGGGTCACACTGAGCACCTCTCACAGGTTGACACCCCCCCCCCAGCCATATTGCCCTCTCTCCTCAATGGGTCTCTTCTTACATGACAGCTCTTACTTGTGTAAGCTTCCCTGTTCAGGAGACCTTGCTCACGTCCTGGTGGGAAGGCTTTCTGAAACAGCTGTCTAAAATCCACAACCCACTGCCCTGCTTTTCATCTGGCTGCAAACGCAGGTCTTATCCCCAGAGAGCATCTCTTCCTCTCTGACTAGCTCAGCAGCTGCAGCTTAGGGTTAGAGGAAAGGGAAACTCCCATTGGTAACAGCAGCTTCAGAGAAGCAAGAGAAAAATGGATGGCTGATCTTCCTGTTGCCCTTCCCCCATTCCTCTCCCTCCACCCCCCGCCCCTTCTTTGCAAGTGGATGGGGAGAGAGGTAAAAAGCAGGGGAATGGAGTTGAAGATAGAATTTAGCTAGGTGAAGGGGCTACAGACCTTGGAAGAGCAGCCAGGGACTATTATAAGACTGTTGTTGTGACTTCTTTGAAAGGGACATCCTGGTCATTGTGTTGCATTTAATAGAGTATGAATCTGCTCTGTCTCACTGTAGCAGCTGCTCTGCAGAAAAGTAACCCTGGGTAGGAAGAGAACTGAGAGAGAGACAGAGAGACAGAGAGACAGAGAGACAGAGAGTGGTGCAGTTTCTGTAATAAGGTCTGGTGTGTGGAGGGCACACGAAAACACTGCTTATGTAGAATCAATAGTGTTTTTTTTTTCCCTCTTGCAGCAGAAGCAGAAACGGACATTCTTCCTCCCCCTTTTCCTCTTGGAGTTTAGGCCAGGCTCTTATGCTGTAATCCTCTTTTATAGCCAGGAGGTCTTTCCAGGATTCTTCACCTTTGGCACGTATGAAACCTAAAGGCCTGAGCTCACCATCTTTAGCTTAACTCTGTTCACTCTCTGTTTTATCCTAAACTCCCTCCCTCCCACCCCATGAGCATGCAAGCCAGAGCTAGAGGTGATTTCAGAGCCATCTCATTCTCTCCCAAACTAACCATTTGTAGATATTCCCTTAACTCCTAGATTTTGGTACAGGGGAGGATGTTTTTGGTGGCCTAACTAAAAGCTTGGAAAGCAATAGGATAACTGGAACCAGAGCTGTAGGGACATCTAGGGTAGGATGTCTAAGGCTTTCCCCCAAGGCACTAGATTTCAATGGAATTACATTTAGAGGGTGCTGAGAGAGCTCGGCATCTCTGAGTAGCATGAAACAACAGAGCTTAGTTAGCCGAGGTCAGTCACTTTAAAGTAGGATCACAGATATAGAGTGGGGACCTTCAAGGCCATCTAATCCAAACCATTTTTAAAGATGAGGAAACCGAGACCCAGGAAGGGTGAGTGAATTGCCGCCATTCACATAAGTAATAGCTTCAAAGGTAGAATTTGAACCCATGTCACCTGACTCTAACACCAATGTTTCTTCCACTGTACTAACCTGGTACCAGATGGCAAGTAGAATGAAACTTCTTTCTTATCCTTTCCTGCTTCTCCCAACCCCCTGTCTCACGTACCAGTGGATCCTCCACACAGAGTGATGCAACTCTCTTACCTCCTCCTCCTGTGCACAGTTAGTTGAGGGGATGCTTCATGCTGCTTGCCCCAAATATAATCTAAGACCTTGCTTCAGGTCCACAAAACCCTCCAGCTCATTCAATAACAGAGCAAAGAAGTGAAGGTCATTAGAGAACCACTGTGGAATTTCAAAGAGAATAGAAACAGATGGGGGACACAGAATTGTTATGCTGAAGGACAGGTTAAATTTTGATTGGGTAATGGCTATTCATTCTAGCTCTCAAAATCTACCCAATGTCACAAGAAACAGAGTCTTCATTTCCTGCTGTGACATTTAACTGCAGAGGTAGCAGCATTTTACTGGGAGAAGACAGTAACTGTTTTCACAGAATTTTGGTCAGTTGTAAAGTACTTTGGGTACTGTTGGCTTGCCCAAGATATGAGAAACAAAAGCTCATTCTTATGTGTGGTGCCGGAAAAAGAGCAATGGATCCCAAGGAGCAGGGAATAGAATTTGGGAGAATCAAAGAGACTTGTATACTAGTACCTGGCTTTGGCACTAAATAGCTGTGTGGCTTTAAGTGAGTCACATGAACCCGATTCAACCCTATAAAATAAAGCCTTGAACTAGACCAAGGTTTCCCAGTCTTTTCAAATATGAGGACTTCTTTTTCTGTCAAAAATTTCCTGTGTCCCCACTTAATAGCAATTTCATTCATACTGCATATTTTATTGAAATTAAATGAAGATCCAAAGCTCACATATGGATTTGAAAAACATTTTTAAAACTCTGCTGAGGCCTTTCCCACCTCTCACCAATGATGGGGAACCCACAGATTTGGTACTACTGAACTTAAACATTTAGCTTTAAAATTATGGGATTCTATTAGATTAATTCCATTTAATTTTCATAACAACCATGCTGGGAGAGGCAGCACTGCATAGTGGATAGAGAACTGGTTTTGGAGTCGGGTGGACCTGAGTTCACACCCTGTCTTTGACATATGCTGACAGTGTGACCCTGGATAAGTCACCTAATTTCTAGGCATTCTCAGGTAGTACCCTAAAAGTATAAGTCAAAGAGAAATGGCCAGTTTGCACTGTTAGAGGAAATTCCTTGCAGGAAGTTCCCTACATGGATGAAAGAACAGGTCTGGCAAGCAACAGCAACCATGTTAAGGATGTAGGTAGCTGTCAGTAAATCCAGGTAAACAGGGCCTCTTGGAGTTTAGGATAGGCCCACTCATAGCTTCAGCATAAATACGATCAATGTGAGTTGAGTACATAGAAGCAGGGAAATGTAAGCCAGCATCTTAAAATCATCAGCTTGTAGTTGCCACCTGCCCATACCAAGGGGCAGGGGAGCAGAAAGGGGCAGGTAATTACAGGCCCAAATAAAAAGCAGCATCAGGAAATAAAAAAAATACACTCCAGTGGTACTGATAATTGCTGACAGTAGTGGAATTCTTCCTGGAAACCAAGAGCAATTACAATATAATTGGGATCATAGCCAAAATGAGGGTGGGAAAACTGGGGCTTTGTCCCAGGGAGTGCTACTCCTCCCTCTGATACACCTCTATCCTTCTGAACCTTAAATCAGCACCATTCTACATACCCCATACCTACAGTGCCTTGCTTGGCTCCAGGTCAGCACCATCAAGGGACAAGGGCACCCCACTCCTGGGCATTGGTGGTTATCTTGACATACCACAGACACAGTTTTATGGCATTTTGGGCTTTGTGAGACACCATCCATGTCTTCCTTCACTGCTGTGCTCCTTGAATGATACTGGAAGTATCTCTTTCCTGTGGTGGATTTGCAGGTTTGGATGTACCTTCAAAGTACAGGTCATCCCTCCCCTGACATGAGGTACTCTACCTGGCTTCCTTTCCTTCTAAGCAAGTAACCTCCAACTTGTCCAGGTTCCACCCCAATCCATCCTCCCACTTGTAGCCTCTCCAACAACAGTCTCAATAGCTTATTTCCCTACTCCGTGATAGTGTAGAGCCTTTACCCACCACATGAGCCCTGATGCCCCGAGTTTGAAGATATTCATTCTCTCAGGCCTCTTCCTTCTTCCCCCCAATCCCGCCCACATCCTGTCCTAGGTGTCAGAATTGCTAGTAATGGCTCTACTCAGGGTACGTTTTATAGATAGAATATTGAAAAAAATCAATAGGTTAATAAGCATTCCTTTTTTCTTTTTTTTTTTTTGAGGCAGTTGGGGTTAAGTGACTTGCCCAGAGTCACACAGCTGGTAAGTATCAAGTGATCAAGTCTCTCAATCCAGATTTGAACCCAGGTCTTCCTCACTCCAGAGCCGGTACTCTATCCACTGAACCACCTAGCTGCCCCTTAATAAGTATTTCTTAAGTACCTTCTATATGCCAGGTACTGTACTAGGTGCTAGGGGTACAAGGAGGCACGTTCTATTTATAAGGACATAGCTAATAACTAATATTTACATATTAGCTCATTTGATCCTCATGACAATTGTGGGAGGTAGGTTCTGTTATTATCCCCATTTTGCAGATGAGGAAACTGTCCAGGGTTATACAGCTAGTAAGTGTCTAAGGCTGGATTTGAACTCAGATCTTTCTGATTCCAGGTCCAGTGCGTTCTACACGTTGTTCCACCTGGCTGCAGGTACAAGATAGTTGGGGGTGGGGAGGGCACTTGAGCAGTTAAAGGGATCAG